GTTCTCTTCAAACTGTTTCTTGCTTTTTGTTATATGAAGTATTTTTGGGGGTGTTCATGGAGACTTTTGAGGGGGTCCTGGTACATCAAACCACATTAGTCTGGGAGGATTCCACAGGTTCTCATCCTTTGCGGAAACAAAAGAAGAAGAAAAAACCTCTTTTCCAAAGCAACAAATGCTGAGAACACCTTCTCATATACATTGTCATACAATGACAGAAGTATGTCTCTGCCACTTCAGAAACTGTCAGGAATTTCATCCTAATCCCAAACCCAGGTTCACTGACCATTTTAAAATGATACTCAAGCAACTGAAGTGGCGGTTTTTTAAGGTCAAACATTACAACACAAAACAATCTAAAGTTACACTAATTTGATATTAACATGATAAGGAACAATGACAAGAAGACTTTGTTTTCCATAATCAAACAAATTTTTCTGTTTCTATAAAGGGGAAACAACTTTGCACATCCAGTAAAAAAAAACCTTGCAATTTTAGCATGCATTAATCTGCAACTGGCACCAAGGTGCTTCAGGCAGTGTCTGTGGGCATTTCACGCTAAGATGACTCATGTGTTGAGCATGAAGTGTGCATGTTGTGTGCTTCAGATCAAGATTATGGTGAGGTCTTGATGCAACACAGATACGCACTACCAACAAGGCCTCAGATCCATTATGAGCTTAATTTTCAATTGATTTTACTATTCTCAAATTTTTCATGATCACCACATGAGTTAAGAAGCTAGGTTTTTAGTACTGGGGAGATGGCTCAGTAGTTGAGAGCACTGGCTACTCTTGCAGAGGACCTAGGTTTGTTTCCCAGCATCCAAATGGCTCAGAACTGTCTGTAACTCCAGTTCCAGGACCTCTGAGGCTCTTTTCTACCCTGAGGGCACCAGCATGTATATATGTGTGTGTGCGTGTGTGTATGTGTGTGTGTGTACACACACGCACACTCATTCATTCACAGGAAATAATAATATTTTTAAGAAGAAGCTGGGATCAAGGGGCACTCTTGTAAAGTGACTTCTGATTCACTGAGGTGTACATGGGAAACAGGCAGTACAGAATGACATGTGTTTGGAGCACTGATAACAGCAAGTATAAGGATAAAAACTACGGAGACATACCTAACTCCTGGAGGGTTTGTAGACCTTCTTTTCCCAGTGTGACATGTGAGAGCAAGCTCTAAGCACTTGTTTTGTAATGGAACTGTAATAGAAAACTCTTGCTATTTTGTGTGCCAGCAGTAAATGTAATGGTCTGTCCTGTCCCTTTAAGAGACAAGCCCTACCCCCCCCCCACCCCCAGTCCACCAAGGCAAGTGGATCTTCCTTCCTTCTGCTTCCTTCCAGCCTGAGCTTCTTCCTTTCCATCTCTCTCCTAAAGAGGCAAGTTCTGTCTCTCTCCTTCTTCCCCACTTCTCCCCTTCCCCACCCCCTCTGTTTCTCTCTCTCTGCTCTTTTCCCTTCTCCCCTATCCCTTTCCCTTCCATAACCCACTAAATTAAATAAATACCCACTTTATCTGCATGGCATGCTTAATTGGTCTCTGTCTCTCACCCGCTGCACAGCTCCGGAGCTGCCTGAGACCAGCTGCCTCCATGGCCCGCTGCCCACTGCTGCCACTCGGGGACCTGCAGCATTTTACCATAACAGTAAGAGGTATATCAATAAATGAAAAGTGGTTTATCCTCTTGTAAAACAATCTGTATCCGAAACTTTAAAAAGTCTCATATTTCACCACTAAACGGAAAATAGGGAATAAAGGTGAAGGAAGAGTCTAAAGCAGCAGCTAATCCAATTTTTTTTTTTTCTCTTTTGGGCCAGAAGCAGGAGAGACAAAGCCTATATAGTGATGGATCAAAGGCAGGCACTACCATGACTATCTTTCAGCTCCAAATTTTGAACAAGAACAACTGAGATCTAAAAGTAAAGTCAAAGAGCCATGGACACTTGACTTGCTAGTGGTAGGTTGGTTGGAACTCCAAATTCGGCTCTGTGAACCTTTTCCTTAACACACTGAGGATGAGCTGTTTCTAATAGATAAGCACTCAGACTATTTATGGATTTTTTTTTAGGTGGGTTCCTCACTGTCTTCTCTTGAAATGGCTCCTGCTTAGTTTTCCACTTAGTTTGAGGTTCTCCTAAACTCTGGCTGAAAAGCAAGTCATCTTGGACCGAGCATTGTTGACACTACTCTCAGCTAAGTGTAGAAATCAGTGTGACAGAGACTGGTTACCAGAGGGAACTGTGGGCTCTTGTTCAGAGTGCAGGGTCACGTTCTGCTGAATAGCCTCAGAAGTTGGCGGAAGGTAGGGAGGCTGGCCTTCAGAAAGGAAGAGGAGGTGGGATTTGGCTCACACACCTGTTGCCCACACTGGTTCACATGACTGGCTCACAGCTCTGAAGGAAACTACTGCTGTCAAGCAATGAAGCCTTGGAAGGCATGGTATCACCAGATTAACACGGGCAAATCCTCGCACTGGTACCACCATGTGGCCTCTGTTAACTCTGAAGTACACACTGCAAGGGCCGGAGTTGGCACAGGACACACCAAGACCAAGTTCTTAGCACAAAGGAGATTTATTTGCCCCAGAGGGACAAAGGGCAGGGAATGATAGACAAACAAGGGAGATAGAAAACAAAGGAGAAGGGGAAGGGAGGAACAAGACAGTAAGGGGAAAGGGTATTTGTTGCGGGGGTGGGGGGGGAGGGGGGGGGGGGTGGATTGAAGGAAGGGGAGGGTGGGATACAAAGGACTGTGTCTTGATAAGGAGGAGACAGACAAGGCCCATAGGCAAGTGGAAGTTTATGAAGGGAAGAGGGGAAACCCCCGAGTTAGGATGAGTTAGTTTGTTTTGATTGAGTTAGTTAGGGCAGCCAAAAGGGAGCTTCTGATTGCTGATCTTCAATACTTTGATAGCTGGCCCTTGGTGGTCAGCCTCTGGAGAAGGAAGTAGCCAGATAAGGGAAGAGACCTTGGTGGCTAGCGTTAGGAATGTAGTTTGTGGGTTAGGAGGGAAGGGCAAGGCCTGCCAGAGCCGTGTTTGCCTTGCTCCGGCCTACTAGAGTCCTTCATACTCCTGAGGCCAGATCAAAAAGATTAAAATTTGAAAAGATGTGACTGTTACAAGAGATGAATAGCAGGAGTTGGTCGGCAAAGGAAGCAGACACAATTCCTTTCGGTGGAGTTTAGTAGGATTCCAGGACCTGGAGGCGCAACCACTCTTCCAGGGGAACCAGGTTCAATTCCCAGAACCCGCATGGCAGCTCACAACTGTCCATAATGTAATTCCCTCACATAGATATACATGCAGGCAAAACACCAATAAAACAAAAATAAATATGAAAAAGAATGTGTATGAGAGAGAGAGAGAGAGAGAGAGAGAGAGAGAGAGAGAGAGAGGCAGGGGGTGGGGTGGGGAGGCAGTATGTCCCTGCGGAGTCTCTCATCAATCCCTATAATAAAGGGCAAGCCTGGTTTTTATAACCTTCTAAAGGTGGCAGGAAGTTTCACATCCCATGATTTAGTTCAGTGTGGCCTATGTGATAAGAAGCCAGGCACCATAAGCTAAGAAGAATAAAGGGCAAGCCTGATTTTTACAGCCTTCTAGAGGTGGCAGGACGTTTCCATCTCACGATTTAGTTCAGTGTGGTCGCACCGTAAGCTAAGAAAAACTGTCAAGTCCCTGCACAGACTGCTTCCTAACGCCCACCTAGGGAGAGCTGTGGAGAGTCGCGGCTTGATTTAGGTTATGGGGTGGGGCTTAAAGGTTCTATGTTCTAACAGTGGCCAAAGTTTAAAACGATGAAGGATGTGGGCCAGGTTGTATGCACACGTTTTCTAACTCCCCCGGGTAGTGGAATGGAGACCAGAACAGCTTGCAGGACCTGCCAGTGTTAGTATTCAGGCATCTGTGCTGGCCTGCCCTTAGGGTCCTGACAGGATGCGTCCTTAGCTGCACCCACTAAGAGCACCTCCTGTGCACATTTGCTTCCTTCCCTTATAAAAGGTGGGCTTTGCCCACTTACTGTCTTTTCCCTCTTCTCTCCCCCCCCCGCCCCCCCCCCTCTCTGCCTCTCTTCTCTTCTGCTGCTCCTGTACCCAGAGGCTGGTCTCTCCCCTCCCCTTCTCCCCTTTCCCACTTCCTTTCCCCCAATTATAAATCAATCAATCAATCAATCAATCAATCAATCCTCCATGTGAGCTCTGTTGGGCGTCGTCTTTCTCTGGTGCACTTCGTTTTAAATTATAACAGCCAGGACAAAGAATGCATGAAGCCACGAACTTAACCAAGCTAGATGACTTAACAGATCTCAGACAGGCATGATCAAAGTCTTGAGTGGGTAACTGAAAATCAATAATATCTGAGGACACTCCTGGGCCAGTAGTCTGTAAGTTCCTCCAGTTCCGTTCTTCTGCCTTTTACCACAAGGAAGTTTGTTTGCTAACAGTGAATAAACAGGCCTTGCGGGGGGGGGGGGGGGGGGGGGGGGGGCAGGCGTTTAACCCCAGCACTTGGAGGGCATAGACAAGTGGATTTCTGTGAGTTCGAGGCCAGCCTGGTCTACAGCATGAGTTCCAAGGACAGCCAGGGCTACACAACGAAACTCTGTCTCGAAAAATAAAAGCCCAAAAACAACAAAAATAGTGGATTAAACAGACAAGAGCATACATAGAAAACTCTTTTTCTCTCAGTTGCCAGGCACGCGTACTAAAAGACATTAGAAAAGGTGGTGTGTGCGAGAAGAAATTCGCCTTTTGCGTGATTTAGCCAAGTTATTTAATTTCTTCTAAACCTGGCTTATCTGTCTGTATGCGGGGGAAAAAAAAGACTCTGGTGCAAACTCGCAATCTTTAAGGAGATGAAGACGAAACAGCGAATAGAGCGTTTGTGTCTGTGGATCCGGCTACACGGGGCCACGCCCCTTCGGCCTGCTCATCTCTGATTGGCCCTCTGGGAGGGGCGGGACCTTGGCGGGCACTAGTTACCCCGCAGAGTCAGGTCGTAGGGCAGGGACTCTGCAGACGCCGCCATGGCTGGCAATGCTCTCCGGCCTGTGCGCTCCCTGCTCGCCGCCCTTCTGGCGCCAGCGCTGGTGGCATTACTGGTGTCGCCGGCCCGGGGTCGCGGGGGCCTGGACCACGGGGACTGGGACATGGGCTGGCGACTGCCTCCGCTGCCACCCCGCGAAGACGCGCCGCGCGTGGCCCGCTTCGTGACGCACGTCTCGGACTGGGGCGCGCTGGCCACTATCTCCACGCTGGAGGCGGTGCGCGGCAGGTCCTTCGCGGACGTCATCTCCTTCAGTGACGGTCCCCCGGGCGCAGGCAGCGGCGTGCCCTACATGTACCTGAGCCCAATGCAGCAACTAGTGAGCGACTTACAGGTGAGCCGGAGCGCCGCGCGGTTCCCGGGGTTGGACACTGCGGGGCTGGAGGCCACAGGCAGACCAGGGAGCGAACCTCTGAAGTTTAGTTCGCTGCAGAGCGCGTGGGTCTTAGAGATAAAAATTTTGAACCTAGCTCAGATGACAGGCCCTTCTGGCCGGCAATGGCTGGGCGGAGATTGTAGCTTTCCAGATGTTGGGCAACTCCACAAAGTTCGCCTGTTAGTGTTCTAACCACTTGGGATAAATTGTTTGTCAGTACCTGGAGGACTTTACGCCCTTCCGATTGTCATGAATCATCTTAAGGGACAGTCTCTGCACGAACGGGCCGCTTGTTATTCAGAGGCTTTACAAAGCGTACAGATTGTTGGCTAGTTATTTAGCATTTGGCTTGTGTGACTTCAGAGTTCCTCTCTCCTCTCGCTCCAGACCTTTCCTATCAGCAGTGGGAAACTACTACCCGGCCTTAAGGTTGACTGCTTCTTTGGACTACAGAACATAGTGGCCTCAATGGAGAGCAGGACTCTTGGAGGAGCTGGTTCCTCTTTGTCCTTTGCCTACTCTCTGGGACCAGGATAAGCTGTGGGAGCGAAGCGGGTGGCTAGAAATGGAGCCTGGCTTGGGGCAAAGCCGGGAAGACACTGCGTGCTTATAAAAGTCAGATGAGAGAACCGTACTTCTTAATCAAGCACGCGAGGTGCCGTGTGCCGAGAGCCTTTCATTTCCACTCATTTGCATTTATTATTATCTCTTGGAATAACTCTTAGGAGTAGGTTTGACTATTCCCATGATGACATGAGGTTAAGCAATATGCAAAGCCAGGGGGCCAACTTTAGCTCACCTCAGATCCACCTGTCTTCAAAGAACAGGACACAGACTGGGACCCACAGACACAGACTGGGACCCACAAACCCAGAGGCCAGTTTCCTTCAGCCTACACAGAGTTCTCTTTTGTTCTTTTTTAAATTTTATATATTTATATTTTATATATGAGTGTACACCTGAATGCCAGAAGAGGGCATCAGATCCCATTATAAATGGCTATGAGCCACCATGTGATTGCTGGGAACTGAACTCAGGACGTCTGGAAGAACAGCCAGTGTTCTTAACCGCTGAGCCATCTCTCCAGGCCTAGGCTGTCTTTTAAAACTGTGATTGTAGGGGCTGGGGAAATAGCCCAGTTGGTAAAGTACATGCCAGGAAAACTTGAGGAAACAGTGGTCTTCATTACCCATGTAAAAAGCGAGGAGTGATCCTCACTGGACAGGCAGGCACACCTCCCTGTCCAGCCAGCCTAGCTGAGACAGTGAGCTTCAGGCCCCAGGGAGAGACTTTTGTCTCAAGTCTCAAAAAACAAGTTGGGTGGCTCCAGCTTGTGAGGAGTGACATCCATAGTTGACCTCTGGGCCACACCATACACTCATTAACACATGTGCACCTGTGGTACACCTGCACTCTCCTCACACACACGCACACACAGACCACAGATGCATGATAAATAGCAAATAGAATCTGCACTCTAACATTTAAAGTGTCTTAACCTTCGTGAAAAAAATCAGAAGTTCTAGCAGCCCTGGGAGTGGGGGCGGAGCTTATCTTCTGAAAAACAAAAAGAATAGAAGCCGCTGCCTCCTCCAGGCCAGATATGTTCACCCCAGTTCACCGTTTCCTTCTTCCCAGCCCTCCTCACTCCTCTAGGCATCTGCTGTTCACAGGCTCCCTCTACTCCAGGGGTGGCATTCGAATGACCCGCGGGTCTCTTGAGAAGGGGTCTCAAAATGCACTCACTACCAAGACACTTTACCCTGAAACAGTGCCCTGTGCTCCCTCAAAGCCTGCTGATGATTCTGTCAGGAAGGGGACAGATGGAGCATCACTATTACCTGTGATCTTATTTATATTTGTGAGGTGTCTAGGGAGTGCTGGCGTCATCCTCGCTGCAGAAACAAGGACACTGAGATTTAGTGGTAGTGGGGCTCACTTGTGGCCACCTAGCTGATGGCCATCAAGGTAGGACTTCAGTGAGCTACTTCATGTGTAGAAAAGAGGCAGATGTGAGGAACCCACCCAAGGTTTCAGTTCCTGTGATGGTATTGGAGAGATGTGAACATGTCAGTGCTCATGATATGAACGTGACGGATGCTGACTCAGTTAACCAGCCAGAGTTGGCTTCTGCTCTGCTCTTCTTCTTGCTTCCAACCAGCAAGCGTCTCTTCATGCCTTCCCATTAGGTTAGAAGAACAAGACTCAGGCTTGAGACCACTTCTGCCATGTAAAATGCCAGACATCACCCTCAGAGACAAGTTGTGAGGTTTAGAGTCTACTTCCCTTTGGGACGTTCCTCTTGTCTGTCTAGTTTTTCGGTGTGTAATGTTTTTGTATAATAAATGTTTATAGGAAGAATTTGTTGATGCTGGTTGATAATGTAGTAGCAAGTTGGGCTGTTAGAGCCAGTGAGTCAAAAGTAAAATTGCTAGAGAGTGCTTGCCTAGGATGCTGGAAGCGCTGAGCTGTATCCCAGTGTTACAGAAAGCAGGCTCGGTGGTGCAGGCCTATAGTCTCAGTATTTGGGAGGTGGGGGCAGAAGGGTTAGCAGTTCAAAGTTATTCTCTGATATCTGGTGAGTTCAAGACCTGGCTGGACTATATAAGGTCCTATCTCAAACAAAACAAAATCATTTTTATCTTTCCTTCCTTCTTGGCACTTCTCTCTTGTGATATAACCAGGTTATTCCTGATTTCTTTTCCCCTTTGACCTATTAAAAACAAGTCAGTTCCTAACCCCGTGGTTCTTCTGATACTTTAAATATCATGTGCACAGTCATGGTTTTCCTTCTGCTTAGGATTTACTTCCACATTTGTGTTCATGTTGGACCTCACCAGACTAAATGATTGCCTTCATTTAGTGTCTGTCAGATAGGAGTTCCATTTCCCTCTTCTTCTAGGAAACGCTCAGCGTCCTGACTTGTGGAATAGTTATTTTCTCAATAAACGCGTTAGAATTTTCACTGCCTCTCCAAACCCCTCAGTTTTTCTTCTGCTTCCTTTGTTTCCATCTCTGCTCCTTCCCCTTCATTGACCCTGTGCTTGGGTCCTCACCACTTCCAACTAGGAAGTTCTCAAACAGCTCTTAAACTGTCTGGACCACCCTGCCCACCAGTAGCAAAATACAGTGTTGCCCAACACACAAGGGGCTTAACCAACGCTGCCCGCTGCTACTCAAGAATCACCCCAAGTGCTTCTCACCCTGGGTGTGGGAGCTGGGGAGATGGCTCATCAGGAAAAGAGCTTGCCATGCAAATGTCAAGAGTTCAGATCCCTGGTGCCCACATAGAAAGCCAACCTGTCGGCCTGTAATCCCCCCGCTTGGCAAGTGGAGATGGGAGTTTCTGGGTTGAACAAACACCCTCCCTGCTTTAGGAAATAAGGTAGAGGTTGATCCAAGAAGACATCCAGTGTCATCTGACTCCACACCCACATCTGCCCACATACATGGGAACATACGTGCATGCACACAGACACACAGACATGCACACACACAAATAGTAAAATAAATAAAACCTTGGGTGCAGATTGGTAGCAGGAATCGTCATCCTAACAAATTATAGGGAATTTTTGAAAGCACTGCTTGAGGATGCCTGCAAACCAACCTAGACTCCTAAGCTGGGGTTTGAGCCGTACTCACCTCCTCCCGGCCCCTCCACCCCTTGGCTTCCCCTTACATTGGCTTTCTCTGTAGTGGCTGTGGAGTCTTCCCAGTCCTCATTCCCTCTGCCTTAATACACCTTCCTGCTCCCGTCCTGATTTTGGTTATGTCTGACTTCTCAACCAGATCTGGAATTCACAGGGAAGAAACCTTACCTGAGCTCTCTCCCTTGTTTTTTCCCTTTTTTTTGGGG